TCTTAGGTTCTTACCCAGGTTTTCTTCAAATCATGATACTCTACTCTTCAGCCTTCAAACTTGTTCCTTCAAACCTTCATACTTTTTCTTAAAATTTTCAAAATTTATTAGCTAGCAATGGCTAAAACTTCCAAATCATTTCTTCGACAGGCTCTTCATCTTCCCACCCGGCCACAAATACCGATGTGGATGCTTCCGAAGTGGCTGTTTCTGTAGTGGCCGCTCCCGAGGTGGCTTCCCCCGAGCCTCCCATGAAAAGCTTTATACATGGGGGTTGCTCAACCTCGAACGACTTCAAAGTCGAGAAGCCCTCATCCAAACAGGACCGGGATGAAGGAGAATCGAGGTATATATGCTCCGTTACCGAAGATGTCTTTCCCGTGGTCCGAGAGGATTGTCATATAGAAAGGCAAGGACGTAGTAGTCCCCGGGCCTGAGGATCATATTACTACCCACGTGGAGGGGTACTTAAGTTTTTACACTTACCCCTTCACTCTAGGTCCGGTAGACCCACTGATTTTGGACTTCAGTAAGAGGTACGAGGTGTGCCGCGGTCTAATCCACCCGTCTCTTTGGAGGATCATGATCCTTCTTCGTTATTTTATGAGTCACACTGATTCATCTCGGTTCATCCTCCACCACCTTCTCTGTCTATACAGTCCCCGAATTTTCCGAGGGGGACAATCAAGCTCATTCGTCGGGCCAGCAAGGACCTTTTTTTGAGTATTGACGAGAATCGAGACCGAGGCTAGTAGGGGCGCTTCGTTCGGGTGAAGACTGAAGATCTGATCCTCTCGAGTTTCTTCCGTTCCCCAAGAAGTGGAATGCATCGTAAGTGTAGCCTCTCCTTAGGTGTCAATTTTTCTTCATTTCCTTTCTCATCATTCATATTCGTATTCTTGCAGTTGTTGCCCGGTTCCCAATGCGGTCCCTTGGTTCGAGTGGATCGAGGGCATCTGCAAGCAGATGTCGTATTTTAAGTGCTCGTGGCGCAAGCTTTTGAAAGGCCCATGGGAAGCACGTTCTTATTATAAGGCCTTTCCCAAAACGATTACTATTATGCTCCGAACTATTATAATGCCGACCCTTTCTCTTTCCTTCGCAGGTTTGCCTAAGACCACCGAACTTAGGCCGCTGAAGGGGGACGAGGACGCGCCCCTACTCATTGAATCCTCCATTACAGGACAGCCCAAGGCTGCCGCGGGGGAAAAGAAGAAGAGAAAAAGAAAGTCTCTGAGCTCCCCGGGTTCCGAGGTGAAGCTAAAGAAGAGGGTGGCTCGTAAGCCCAAGAAGAGTACCAACTCCCGGGTGCCAGATTCTGACTCGCTTCTCCGGCTCAAGGATGTAGGGATGAGTCTGAAGAAGATGATATTTTTATTGCCCTCGATCGATACTTGCCAGCCGAGGGGGCGGGCCGTGAGACCGACCTCCCTCCGACTTAAGAGGTAGGGATGGAGACGGGGGCGAGACCCCTCGAGAAGCCGATTTTGCTCCGAAGGAAGCTACTGGCGTAATAGAAATTGTGGAGATGCCCTCTTACACCGAGCCCATGCTTGAGGAGGCCCAGGCAGGAAAAGAGAAGTCAAGTGAAGGAGTCCATGGTGCGGACGACCCCCCTTCATTCCTCCTTCGATGGCGTGGATTCGTCTATTTTGGAAGATTTTTCCAGGCTGGGCAACCTGGAAGTCCCGAAGAAGGATGTATCTTCGTAAGCTGGTGGACCGAGTTCAAGCTCAAAATTGGATAATCAGTTTTCTACTCCGAATGTGGACCCCGATCGCAAGAGAGTAGTTATTCTTACTGTCCTTAAGGATGCTCGGGTTCTATCGGCTCCTGTGGGCATAGCCCGTTACCTTCAATTCCTGGTGACCGAGGAGAACCAGGAAAAGAAGAATGAGGTGGGCGCGCCGTGTTTTTTCAACGAGGCGCAGCTGGCGCTTAACTAGGTAAGGCATCAATACTCCCTTTTGAATTTCTCTAAGGTTTTGATATTTCTCACTACTTTCATCGTTTTGCAGGTTTCAGTACTTCACCACGAGAGCTTTCTCCGGTACCGCTCCGAGATCTACCAGCTCAAGTTCGAATTCAAGGAGCAGGCTCAAAAGAAGGATATGTACAAGCTCTTTAGTGAGAAACAAAATGGGGCCCTCAAGGACCTTCAGGCCGAGCGGGAACATGCCGACCTAGTCGAAAAGGTAAAGGTCTTTGAAGTTAAAATGATGAGCTAGTCGTGGTGACTAATGACAAAATCTCGCAAGTTCAAAAGAAGATCGACCAGATCAACCAACTCCGAGCTGAGATGAACGAGGTCCAAGCCATGGCCAATGGGTGGAAAAGAAAAATGGGCCTATTGGCTTCGGAGAAGGAAATAGCTAATACAGAGCTGGCTTCGGTCGAGAATCAACTCTGAGTGGCGAAGGAGAAAGCCGACAAGTGGTCTCAGCTGAATGATGACCTTCGAGCACAATTGATCTCAGTCGTCATTGAGCGGGTCGCCCTCAGTAGAGAATATGAGGCAGTGAAGTCCAAATTGGACATAACCTTTACCGATGCCGAAGAAATGGTGGCCCAGTGCAAAGCCGACGTGGAGGCTGCCGAGGCCTGCTTGAAGACAAAGGCCAAATATGTGAAGCGACTATCTCGGAGAGAGACCCTCGAAGAGATCCACACCCGGGTTTTCGACCTATCAGTTGAGATCGAGGAAGACAAATGGCTCGAGACTGAAGCGAAGAAGCTATACGATCCCGAAGATGCCGATGGTTCTAAGGGATCCGAGGGCTCCGATGATTCTGGAGACGAGTCGGGCTCCGATGAAGACAAGGCATAAATGCCTTAGTTCTTTTTTAGTTTTTATCTTGTGTAAACTTTTTGTTTATTTTGAGACCGTTTTTGTTGGGCCTTTCTAAATACATTCCAGAATATATATAAATTTCCCTTTCTGGCAATTTCAAATATTTACTTTTTTAGCATCTTTTAATAATATCTACTCTTGCAAATGTTTCTAATGCCTTAGCATAGAATCAAATGTAGTAGTTAGGCGTTCGTTTTTCAGAGGTCCGAACGGAATTTGACTTCGATAAAACTTTATTTGCTCGAATCTTTGAAAACTCGGTGTGACTGAAAGTTTTTTCAAGAAGCTTAAGTGATTTTAGACGATGCTTTTCCCGAAGGTAACCTTTTAGCAGGTTTTGAATTCTGATAAAGGCCTTATGTTCTGATTACGAGCTTCGGACGTCTCCGAATCATTTTTTAAGGTGGCCGTAGCCTTTTGTGTTTAGGCACTACCTAATAAGTTTTGTTCCTCCTATATTTGCTAGCCCGAGTTTCCCGAACCATTTCGGGCGATAGTCCCCAAGTAGTGGTAGCCCTTGGGATCGATAGCCCCCGAAAAGGGGAAGCCTTTGGGCTCGATAGTCCCCGAATAGGGGTGGCCTTTGGGCTCGATATTCCCTGAATAGGGGTGGTCTTTGGGCTCGATAGTCCCCGAATAGGGGTAGCCCTTGGGCTCTTAGGATCCATAATTTAAGAGGCAAAAATGTGTAGTGGCAAGGTGGGAATTTTCTTTCATTTCTATGTGTAAAGTACATGATCGAAAGTGTGTAAAAGCTTGTATTATGGCTAAGGTGGACTATGTGCAAACGGTTCATTTGGCCGTTTGGCCCTTACAATAAATCCTAATCATCGAGCCTTAGTTATTCAAGTACAAAGTTTCCTTTTATCCTTGCTAAGAACCTTAACCCGAGAGTGATGGCCCCTAGTATTCGAGGTCGATCTTGAGAGGGATCGGATACTGTTGATGCAAAATGAAGGCCTATTGACTCCTATCGAGACCGGCCTTCGATTCTAAGTTAGCACGATTTACTGTTGTCTCGTTAAAAACCTAGCCGAAAACCCCATTTTGGGACAAAACTTGTTCAAGGGAAGAGTGCAATGCGTGCTTTCAGACCTAATAGTCACATTCTCCCTTGGCCGTTGCCAGCAAGTGTTGGTCCGATTCATAATATTATTAAAAAGTAAATGAGGTCGCACCTTAGAAGTAGTGTCGCTTTAAGTGTGTCACGTTCCAGTTGTTCGGTAGTTGTACATTGTTTCCTGCATCGAGTTTGTATGAGCCTTTGCCGGTAATTCCGATGACTCGATATGGTCCTTCCCAATTTGGTCCCAGTTTCCCCTCGTTCGGGTTCCGGGTATGCAGCGTCACTTTCCTTAACACCAAATCCGCGATCTTGAAGTGTGGGAGGTTGGCTCTTTGGTTGTAGTATCTTTCTATCCACTGTTTCTGGGCGGCTAACTGGACTAGGGCGGCCTTATGCCTTTCATCCAATAGTTCTAGGCTCGTGTTCATGGCCTCGCCGTTCGACTCTTCGGTCGCATATCGGAACATGAGGCCCAATTCTCCCACTTTGATTGGTATTAATGCTTCGGTACCGTAGAACAATGAAAATGGGGTGACCCTGGTACTAGACTTCAAGGTTGTACGATACGCCCATAAGACTTCGGGCAAGATTTCTTTCCATATCCCTTTGGCATCGGTCAACCTCTTTTTTAGGTTTTGAAGTATGGTCTTGTCTGTTTATTCCGCCTGTCTATTCCCACCAAGGTGATAGGGTGTTGATAAGATCTTTTTAATCTTGTGATCTTCAAAAAATTTGTTTACCTTGATGCCGCTGAATTGCTTCCCATTATCACACTCGATCTCGGTTGGTATCTCGAATCGGCATATTATGTGATCCCAAATGAAGTCAATGACTTCCTTTTCCTGGACTTTCTCGAACGCTTAGGCTTCGACCCATTTAGAAAAATAATCGATCATAAATAGTATGAATTGAGCCTACCAAGTGCCCACGGAGGGGACCGACAATGTCCATTCTCCATTTCATGAACGACCATGGGGACAAGACCGAATGAAGTAGTTTTCCCCGTTGGTGGATCATCCGTGCGTGCCTTCAGCAGGTGTCGCATCTTCGTACAAAGTACTTTGTATGTTTCTCCATTCTGATTTAATAATAGTCGGCCCCGATTAATTTCCGAACCAAAGATTCCGCCCCCGAATGGTTTTCGCAAGTGCCTTCGTGAACTTCTCTTAAAGCATATTCGGTATCCCCCGGCCCCAAGCTTATGGCCAGTGGGCCATCGAATGTCCTCTTGAACAGAGTCCTTTCGGACAAGATAAACCTGGAGGCCTTCGTATGCAGAGCTCTTGATTCTTTAGGATCCGAGTGCAATTTCCCAGTATTCAAGTAATCTAAGTACTTGTTCCTCCAATCCAGGTTAAACTTGTCAAGTTTATTTCGGCATGGCCTTCTTCTACCACCGATTTCATGAGCAGTATGACTGTTCCTGAACTGAATTCATCGTCATCAACCGATGATCCCAAGTTAGGCAGAGCATTGAGCTCGCAATTTTGATCTCGAGACATGTGTTGTAGGGTCCATTCCTTGAATTTATGCAGCGTTACCTGCAATTTTTCTAAATACCTCTGCATCCATTCCTCTTTTACTTCAAATGTCCCATTGACTTGATTTACCACAAGGGGGGAATCACACTTAGCTTCGACCACCTTGGCGGCTTTTAGCCAATTCGAGACCTGCAATCATGGCCTCATACTCAATCTCATTGTTAGTCAATTTCACAGTTGTAATAGATAGCCTAACTATGTTACTCGTAGGTGGCTTCAACATGATGCCAAGTCCGGACCCCTTTGCGTTCGAAACACCGTCCATAAAGAGGGAAGAGATTCCCGAGGAAGTCCCTGAGGCTAATAATAATTCCTTTTCGACTTCGGGTATTAACGCCGGCGTAAAGTCGGCCACGAAGTATGCCAAAATTTGTGATTTGATGACTGTTCGGGTTCGATACTCGATATCGTACCCGCTAATTTCTATAGACCATTTGGCCAACTGGCCTGAGAGCTCGGGTTTGTGCATAATGTTTCTTAGTGGGTAAGAGGTTACGACACACATGGGGTGGCACTGAAAGTGTGGTTTAAACTTCCTAGAGGCGCTTAGCAAAGTGAGCGCTAATTTTTCCATGTGAGGATACCTTGTTTCGGCCTCACCTAGAGTTCTACTGACATAGTAAATAGGGAATTGCATACCTTCCTCTTCTCGAACTAAGACTCCACTAATCGCCACCTCAGATACCGCCAAGTAAAGGTACAGTTGCTCATCTGCCTTCGGAGTGTGGAGCAGGGGCGGACTCAAAAGGTACCATTTGAGTTCTTCTAAAGCTTGTTGACACTTTGGGGTCCGGGAAAAATTATTCTTCTTCTTCAACAATGAGAAGAACCGATGGCTTTTTTTTGAGGACCTCGATATGAACCGGCCCAAGGCGGCTATACACTTGGTCAACCTCTGAACGGCCTTGACGTTGTCCACCACAGTGATGTCTTCTATGGCCTTAATTTTGTCGAGTTTAATCTCCATCCCCTGATTGGAAACCATAAACCCGAGGAACTTTCCCGATCAGACCCCGAAAGCGCACTTCTCTAGGTTCAGCTTCATATTCTATTTTTTTAATATGTCAAAGGTTTACTGCAAATGTTTCAAATGGTCCTCTGCTCGTACCGACTTAACCAACATGTCGTCAATACATACTTCCATTGATCTTCCTATATGTTCTTCGAACATTCGGTTTACTAGGCATCGATAAGTGGCACCGACATTCTTTGATCCAAATGGCATTACGCTATAACAATAGGTGCCGAGTTTAGTGATAAAGGAATTTTTTTACTTGATCGCCCGGGTCCATCCGAATTTAGTTGTACCCGAAATAGGCATCGAGAAAACTAAGTATGTTGTGCTCGACCGTCGCGTTGATCATCAGATTGATGTTAGGCAAAGGAAAGGAAACCTTAGGGCATGAGTTGTCAAGTCTTTCTAATCTACACGCATTCTTAACTTATTTCCTTTTTTAGGCACTACTACTGCGTTAGCTAACCAGTCCGGGTACTTAACTTCCCGAATGGACCCTATTTTAAGGAGTTTAGATACCTCGTATTTGATGAATGCATGCTTGACCTCGGTTGAGGTCTTCTCTTTTGTTTAAACAGGTGGAACTTCGGAACCAAACTCGGGTTATGTCATATCAAGATGGGACCAGGCGAAACAAGATATGTTAATTTTAAGGAAACTAATGAGTTCTTTCCTAAGCTCGGGGATTAACCCCGTGCCTAGGTATATCTTTAGATCCGGTAGGTGTTCGGTTAATATGACTTGTTCTAGCTCCTCGATCGTCGATTTAGTGATGTCGGTATCATCAAGAGCTATGAATGATCTCGGAATTCCGTAATCATCCTCTTCGTCAATTCCTCATTCCTCCGGTCCGATCGTGACTGGCATCAATGATTGCTATTTGACTTCAGCCTTTCTAGTCGATTTTGTGATTTTTAATGTCGAAACAGCGGGTACCGGGAGTACTTCATCGATTGCAAATATATCCTTTGCAGCCGACTGCTCTCCGTACATTGTCTTGATCCCTCTCGGTGTAGGGAACTTCAATGCCTGGTGCAATATCGAAGGTACCACCCTCATGTTGTGAACCCGTAGTCTTCCGAATAGAGAGTTATATCTCATATCCCCTTCAATCACATAGAACTCTGTTTCCTGGATGGTACCGGCAGTGTTCACCGGTAGGGTTATCTCCCCTCTAGTGGTTTCGCATGTCATAATAAATCTGTTCAACACCCGAACTACTAACACTATTTGGTCTTGTAAACCCAACTGCTCTACGACCCTCGGTCTAATGATGTTGGCCGAGCTGCCTGGATCAATCAACACACGCTTAACTCGAGATTTATTTATATCTACAGATATTACCAGTGCATCATTATGCGGTTGTACGACGTCTTCGGCATCCTCATCGTTGAACGAAATGGTTCCCTCTAGGATATAATCTCGGGTTCGTTTTTCCCTTGTGATGGACACTTTAGTGTGCTTTATCATTGGTCCCTGGGGTATATCGACCCCTCCAATGATCATGTTGATGATGTGCTGAGGTTCTTCTTCTTCGGTCTATTTGTTGGAGTCCCTGTTCCTGAAGTGATTTTTTGCTCGATCACTTAGAAATTCCCGGAGATGCCCGTTATTGAATAACCTGGCCTCTTCTTCTCTTAATTATCGGTAGTCCTCGGTCCTGCGGCTGTGAGTGCTATGATACTTGCACATCGAGTTAGGGTCTCTCTATGTAGGGTCAGACAACAATGGTCGAGGCCACTTGGTATCCTTGATGCGTCCGATGGCAAATACGATGCTGGCAGCATCGACATTGAAATTATATTCCGATAACCTTGGTGCTCCCTGGCCCCGAGTGGCCTATCGAAACTGTTTTTGCATATCAGTCCCCGGCTACTATGGCCTAGATCACTCTTCTCGTTCCTCGTAGGGTGACGCCCAGATCCGTTACACCTTCTATCTCCGCTATACGGTTGGTACCGATCTCTGCTCGGTCTCGTCTCATGATCGACAACTTTCCTAGACCTGTTGTTGGCTCTAATAGGATAAACGGACCCAGAAGGGCCCACGAGTTGATCGTCCTTGACTCTGATTTTTGACAAGCACCTATTGTAGACGTCGACCCAACTTACCACCGGGTACTCTACCAAATTTTATTTTATCTGTTATGAAGTCGAGGAGCTTCGGGGGTTATGTCCTTAAGTGAATTCCTGAACAGACCAATCATCCGCAATTGGAGGCAAGTCCATCCGTACCATTTGAAACCTTGATACGAACTCCCTGAGCATTTCGTTTTCTCTTTGTTTTACCTTGAAAAAATCCGATTTTCTAGTCTCGAACTTGATGGCCCCAGCATGCGCTTTCACAAAAGCATCTGCAAGCATAGCAAACGACTCAATAGAATTTGGGGGTAAGTTGTGATACCATATCATTGCTCCTTTTGACAGAGTTTCTCCGAACTTCTTCAGCAAAACCGACTCGATTTTGTCATCTTCCAAGTCGCTCCCCTTGATGGCAATGTGTAGGAGGTCACATGCTCATTTGTATCCGTGGTTCCGATATATTTTAGAATATCGGGCATACAAAACTTCTTCGGGATTGGCTACCGCGCTCGGAGAAAAGGCTTTTGGAAAAATTTCTTGGAGTCTAGGCTTTTCAATATCGGAGGCGCTCCTAAGATTTAATCGACCATGTAGTTATAGGTCTCCACTTTTTTGTCGTTGGCCTCAATTTTCTTCTCCCCTGATTCAACCCGCTTTGTCAATTCTTCAAGCATCTCATTGTTTTGGGGTTGGTCCCAAGCTCAGCCTCATCCACCCTCCCGGTGTTTTGCTCACTTCTTTGGGTACTCCCCCGGACCGTTCGGGCTCGCCCTACAAGAAGTGTGGCCTTGATTTTGTAGTTTCACTATCGCCGCCTGTTTAGGATGCAACATTTCGAAGAATAGACGCAGGCTTATCCCATCACCTTTGCCTTCAGGTGTTTCTCGAACCGTTACTCGTGGGCCTCCGCAAACGCTGTTCTCGGGGTCAGTTGGCAGGTGGGCGTCAATAGCAACCTGTGAATTGGTGTAGATTGGTTCAGCAACTAGGACTCTGTTAGTATCAATAGGGAATACCTCATTGCTAGGCACCAAGTTGTTATCCATAATGGCCAGACTCAGCCTCAATGTTCATGTGAGCAGACTGAGAGTTTGACATCTTCAAGCAAACCTGAAACTGAAAACTTAAAGAACAAGCATAAAATAGAGTGTGTTATGGAAATTTGTATCAAATTACCACTATAATCCTTAGTCCCACGGTGGGCGCCAAACTGTTTACCCTTAGAAATGGATAACAATTGAATTTAGACGCGGTTTTAAGGATAGGTGGATTGATTCAATACAAGCGACAATAACGTTAGATAAGCGAATTAAGGGTAAAATAAATAACCAAACCAGTTGTGGTGTTAGGTCTGGGCTCGGGTCTGAGCTTAACAATTGTTCTGCCCTCGATTCGGGGCCAAATATATATATATATATATATATATATATATATATATAATATATTATATATATATATATATAAAGAGCTATGAACTAAAATAAGAACCTTTGAGTAGCTTAGAAGCAGAGAAAACAAGTCTATACTGCCTTGATATACGTGCTACCATGTGTTTCTTGAATAAAAACCACTCCTTTTATATAGTAGGAGAGTTTCATCCCTAGTATAACTCTAAGAAAGGTAAAAATAATTCTTTTTCGTTAGTTACTGATTTGCTTCCGATACGGGCCGATATCTTTGCCGTGATATCCGGTTGAGCGCGGATATCACGGTCCTTCGTTAGTCCTGTGCAACCGTTTGGTAATGCTTTCCGAGGTATTGGTGTTCGAACCGAATTCGGGGGGCATCGTCTCGATGGCTCCGGTGGTAAGCGCTTTGCTCGGGCCCTAGTACGAGAGGTTCCTATCCGATTCCATATAGGTGTCCTTGCTTCGTTTGCCCCTCCGGAAAATCAAAGTGTTCATCAGCCCGGTTTTACCCGTATTCACGTGTATAAAGAAGGAAAACCAACCAGGCTATCAAATATTACTGAATCGAAATCTTGTGTTACTGGGATAAGAGTATAGGGTCAGAAGCACGAGATTCGATACGCGTTTTCAACGGCCAACAAGCAAAAAACTTCACTCTACACATCATTCGGAGTCACTGCGGTATTGGTGTAATAATGAAATATATATCTTCTACCCAAACGACATCAATAGTTCGGTCTGTACATGTGATTAAGAAAAAGAAAGAGTAGATAATTTGCATAGATTGAATGTTACGTAATCAAAGTGAAGCCCAACGTATAGGATTGATTCTTAAACAGCAATAATTAGACGAAAAGAATGTCACAATTAAGCAGGATCCTGGCTTAACGATGCAGTGATTACCACTTCAAGGAATAAAGTTAACAGTAAACAAGATTATCCAAATTTAATAATGGTGCATGCCATACCGAAAGGGAAACATAAAATTAGGGACCACATAATTGGTCTCTTAAGTAAGAACTAAGTAAGAAAATTAATGGTGTGTCTGTTCTTTTATGCTGTCGGGTTGAATTTATGGATGGTAGATCTATTTTACACAAGCTAGCTAGTTCCATTAGTGATGGCTCTTATGTTTTGCTCGTGCAACAAGATCTTCTACAAACGTGCTGTGCATTATAATTATAGGTCTAACATGGTATGAGATTTCCTTTGAGCAACTTGTACTTCACGTGCTTGCGTTTTGTCATTTACGTAATTGAAAATTTGCATGGGAGACTATAAACCTTTCCTTCTTTCCTGCTTCTTTCCTCCCCTAACCCCCAATTTTTCGTTTAAGTTTCATTTTTATATACTAACAATGTATTTTATAAGATTGAAAGTGTACAATAATCTTTACATTATCAAATTAAAACTTGAAAAAAAGTTAATTACTTGATAGTATAATTAATATATACTATAATTGTTCTTTGCAATTTTACTT